TTTTTTTTTAATCTCTTTAATTTCTTTAAAAATTGTATACCACCCTTAAAGCAAAGCATGACTTGTTAGTGCCCTAGCATAGGACTTACAAATAAATGATAACATACCATGAAAAATGTTTTAAATTTTTCAATATTTTAAAACAGAAACTATATTTATTTCTTAATAAATATTTAAAATAAAAGTGATACTAACAATATATAATTAAGTGTATTTTTTTAGAATTCATGAGATGATTTTATTGGAAAACACAAAAAATTCCTAAGGTTAGGTAAGGTAAAATCATAAGAAGTTTAATTGACATACTTATACATTCAAAACAAATTTCCTGAAATATGTAATTTCATTGTTTTACATTAGTGGTTCCCAGACTTTTTTGCGCAGTGTCCTTTTTTAGACTATTTATCACCATGGAGCTGTAAATACCATGAAAGACAGGACAAAAATTTCTCATTGATAAAAATTCTATACATTTTAAATTATTTATTATAAGCTGTAGAACGTGGTGCCTTAAAAAGTGCTCGCGGTGTACCTAGTGCACAGTTTGGGAACCGCTGATTTACATATTATTCATATACATTGTTTGTACCAATATTTTAACCTTTAKCTATAATGAAATAAAAAGTGTAGGTAAATATTAACATAATAATATAAGAGATAGTGTAACTTAAATTTGTTTTTTATTTTTTTTGTATGTTTATAAAATTGTAAGTGCAGAATTGTTTTTTAATACCTTCTTCCATATCGTGGATCACTGTTGGGTGAACAGCCCAGCGCTTCGAGGTCACCTGGCTGTGTGCCACTCTGGGAGTAAAACTTTTTATACTTGTGTTTTTCATCTCCAACCATTTTGCATGAATAACTTTCAATCCTATAACAGAAAAATATGATCAATATGTGCATAGGAATGATGGATATAAAAACAAAATTACCTGGCAACAACTTTGACATCTCCTCGGTCAACACAAAGCGCTCTCGATAGCTCCACTAATTGCGAGCTCTCCAATAGTTTCATGGTGGATACAGCAATGTAGCAATGTCAATATTGTTTATATCCGCAAATTATGCGGGCAGCACCGTTTATGTTGTGTACAGCAATTACTGAATTTCAGGTATGTCGTCGAACTTTCCATTTTTACGCCGATAGCACCGGAGTCCAATACAGACGAACAGAGTCCTTGTCCAATTCCAGATGAATGCAGATGTCGCCGATACCGAACTCCGAAGGGCAAATTACCAATGACTTTTCCGGTCAGGATAAATTAACAGTACGGCTACGTTCAGACGCCTTCGGTCCGCCGACGATCGGTCGAAAAATGGTTATTAATAACTATGGATCTCAATTCACCGTATCGATTCGAACGCCGTACGAGGGGTCGAAATGTCGAACGAATAAAAGAGGCGCACAAATCAAATGAATGCGTTCAACACACACTTGAAAGTCGAAACACTTGCTTTGTCCGTTGAACGTTTATTATTTAATATTTATTGAGTTGTTTTTGTTTACTCACCGCGCGCGCGCACTCACGCTCACACACACACGCTCACACAGATGCTATAAAGCGATAAAAATGACCGCCAAGCCAAAATGCCGATTGCCGCCGCCGCCACCAATATCTAATAATAATGTTTTGTGGGACGTAGTTTCGACGACCTTGACTCCTTTGTATTATTTTTTTCTTGTATTATTATTGTTGTTGTTACAAGCTGGTGAGCCAGTCGGGAATCTTTAATCTTTATCACTCGAACGCGGTACCACCTCGCCTAACTATCGTAATTCGTAATGCCATCCTTCGCCTACACAGACACAATACCGACGCAACCGACATATCGTTCTTTCTCTCTTGCTCTGACTCACTCCCTCCCTGGCGAACTCGCCGCACGCGCGTGCGCCATCACACACACACGATCGCCGATCGGTACAACGACTACGTCGGGCGGTACGTGTGTGTGTGTAGCACGGCAGGCGGCGAGTGAGAGGGAACGAGTTTTCGAGGGGCCCGAGTGGCGCATGCGCATACAGCTCTACGACAAGCGGCCTTTGGTTTGGAAAACAGCTGCCCGCTCCCAGCCTCCCGGAGTCCCGACGTTACTCAGTTATTCAAGTTATTGTAAGTTGTGACATTGTGTTGCGTCGCTACTTGCTAGCGGTTGGTGTGGTAGCTTGGGTAGGTGTTGTGGCCTTGTGGGTGTGTGAGCGTTGACAATCGAGTGATCGTAGAGAACGGGAATAACATTATTACCTTAAAGTTATCTCCACGATTTTTTACATTTTTAGCGATCTTATTATTCACGGCAATTTTGAATTACCTACGTCGCTGTCTCAAAAAATTATCGTTGACCGTCATGCAACATTGCAAGCGACAATTTTCGTGATCAACCACGATGATAAAGTTTTTAACTATCGAATTAAAAWAAATGCTTCTGCCATCTAAAGGATAGAATTAGGGACTATTTTTTGAGTTTATTAAACAATTGGTCTGGCCTCTGGGTGATTCACTGTTCAGCGCTCTTTTTTTGCCCCTGCGCAATTTCAACGCGTGATGGTTGTGTGTCTGTATGACTGTRTAGAATGTTTGAAACCAATGGTTAAACTAATTGGTTGGAGCAACGGGTCGCGAGGTCAAGCGTTCAATTTTTATGTCTGCGACTATAATACGTTTAAATTATATTCATATAAATTATAAACTACCTTATTATAGATGTTTATCTATAATAATATTATAGGTTAAGCTTTATGTCTATATATCATGATAAATAGGACTTATGGTAATATGGTCATGGTGACTTAAACAGATTAAAAAAATATTACATTAAAAATTGCATTCCTCTATAAAAACCTTTACCTGAGGGAATCGGACTATATAATAATATATATAAACTGTTCTACCTATGTTTCCCGTTGTGCATAGGCCATTTTTGTAGCCATAGGGAACGGCAAAAAAGTCTCAGAGAAAAAAAGTTTATACAATTTGGAACATTTTCAATGAAACTAAGTCTCCAAGATTTATTAAAAGCTATTGCTCAAAACATTAAGTTACACTGATATAAAAATGTATACAATGGTTTTTTTTTATAAAT